CGCTAAAAAAAGCAAGACATACATGTACATAATTGGTAAAATGAGAAATAATACGGCAAAACGTATTATTAATGAGAGTAGGTGGTAAAAGTTATGCCATTGCCGCAACACAACAGGTTCCCCATGCCAATCGGGGCCTCTTAATCAAATCAAAGGGAAAAACTAACAAGTCCATACGCTGCCATGTTTGTCACAAAAACATTTTGCCATCCTGATGCAAATTAAGCCACTACTCAAGTAGTTTAAGGCCTGGGTCTAATGGGTTTATACCTGTGGAAAATCATTTATTGGCTATAATTTTGGCAAACATTCATTCCACAATAATGCAGAAAGTAAGGTATATTTATCCTCTATCAGAAGTGCCAATTTTACAGGTATTTACCCTCAAACAAAATAAAATTTGCTACCAATTCATTACCTTATCTCCTACATGTTCAATTTTTGGTCATGCAATAAATCACATGACCATAATTAAACACTCAGGCACAAGTAGACCTCAACATTTACTTTTGGGAAAAAAGTAGCCTGCAAACCCCACGTATCCAATCAAGTTATTGCATGAAAGTAAGAGCGGAAGCAAAAAAAAAAGGTGGAAGGGGGAGGATATTTCACGGTTCGGTTCATTTGAAAATTGACAGCTCATCAAAATAGAAGTATAACAAACAGATTACCCCTAGATTACCAGATTTGTAAAATTACTTTGTTCTCTAATAGAACATGTTCCTAGCAATTGCAAAAACTGTAATAAAAAAGGTTAATGGTAAAAGAAGGTTAAAACTCTGAGTGATTGCTGCGGAATTTCTTGTTTTTTATTGTGTGGCTTTATCTCATCTGAAACCTTGTTGGAACGTCAAAAATGATTTGTCCAGAACCATTCACCCCGCTGGCTATAAGTTTTGCAGAGCGGCTGCTTTTTAGCCTGTGTTGAAACGTTCTCTACAATACATGCAGCTAAATTTCCAATAACCAAAAGAATCTTTTCATTTCAAAAAGCTGACAAATCGCTTGTCCATGGTGGCTTTACATGTAGCTACACTGAAGTGTTGAGTACCGATGTTCTGATTTATGTTGATGTTATCTCCAACAAACAGTCCATTTTTGCTAGTCATATCTGCATGCCGTCATTCCCAATAAATTGGCCTTCCCTTGTCTCCACTACAGTCACACCACAACTATAAAACTTAGTAACTATTAAAGCATCAAAAATAAAGGACTTGCAAGAACCAAAAAACCAATTTCAAGTACTTTCAAGGCCTTGAAATTGGCCTCCTGAATTTCAAGGGTTTTCAAGGACTTTCAATATGATTACCAACATCTCTCTTACAATATAAAGTAACATACCTAACCCTAAATTATGCTTTGCTGTTTTGAGTACAATATTGAAACATCTGGAAATTTCCCTGTAACAGGACTGTCACTAAAAAAGGGGTAGGAGCCCGAGATTTTTGGGTCAGTGTACAGATTTCCGACAACCACACCTCTGCTAATCCCACCATTTTAGCCTAAGAACATGTAACAGGTTAGTGTTAACACTATTTTGTTAGGGGGTGGGGGTATAAAGTGCGCCCAGAATCTTATACTGATCCATCTAGTACACTTTAGGGTTGAACAGCTTATTACGTCCCTGTTTAATGTCCTTATAGGAAGGTGACCATAAAGAAAAGGTTGGGCTGCATTAGAAAAATGCTAACTAAAGTGCAAGCAGTTTGATAACCTCTTACAGTGTATTTCTTTTTTTCCTGAAGTAACCATCAGTGATTTTCTTACCTCTGCGTTCTAAGTCCCTGATGGAGGGGAGCATTGGGATTTTTGATTTTTCAGTTTTGGCCATTTTAAGGTTGATTTTCGGGTTTTACACTGAAAAACTCCGGTTAATTACAAATTTACTGTCCATTGCTGTTTGCGGTTTTACGGTTTTTCAGCATTGGTTTTCAGTACTTGGTAAAAATCATTCAAGTGGTTTTTCGGATTTGGTGTTCCATCTGGTTTTCGTTTTTTTTATGTGCTGAGCGTAACATCACATAGTGCTGATACTGTGATGATACATGTATTAATATTTAGTATGAAGACTGATGTGATATTGTACTCCACAATGTTCTACACATCACCAACATTTCAGATCGATTAGGTTTTTGAAAACTTTTGATGGTTTTTTTTATTCGGTTTTGATCAAAAGCTATTGCGGGTCTCGGTTTTGGGTGATTTTTTAGCAGTTTTTTTTGTTTTAAAATAGACCCCAACTCCTCCTCCTGATGCATAAAAATCCTAAAAGACACAAAATAATCAACAGCATGCATCCAATCTACCAATCTTAAGACGCTTTTGTAGAATACGCTGTTCATGCGATTTCGGTGGCTGTTATTGTGGCTGTTGTTTAATGATGCATATTTCTTTCAGTCTTTCTAGTGCTTTGAAATAGAAGGAGTATATTTTAATTTTGGTAAACTGTATTAAGAGTTTTGACATATGTCTTCACGTTAACTGTCTGGTTACATTAAGGCCCAAGCATTTTCAATTAATTGTAAGATTTTTTGAAGTGGGAAATATTGGTCCTGGACTGAAACTCCTGACTTTTCACAAGATGAGTCCCAGTGTACTCAGTACCATAATTTGTAACATAATCACTGACTCATTCATAATATCAGCAAAAGAAAATAACAAAATGACACAGTCATAAAAGAAAAATATTTTTCAAATACTACATGTAACTTGGTACCTGATTTGGGATATAATTTGAGTTTTTGTTCCATCCTAAGACAGATATTTTCATCAGTTACTTCTACATGAATAAATTTCAAAATTGTCCAAATTGCAGGAATTTTGCCAACACCTGTATTTCCTTTCTGTAATTTAGTAAACAACAATTTATTCTTATATCCTTTCTTCTTCAACTCAAAAATAATACTTTTTCCAACTTATTTTCATGTTCTTCCTTCACGTGTGTACATAATTCTAAGATGTACAGGAGTTAAAGATAATTTTAGCAACAAGCAGATGCACTTTTGCTGTGTAACTGTGCCTAAACATCACTTACATGTTGTTATCTACAGCTTTAGCATGATTACAGAACATGATTAAATACACGTTAGAAATTCAAGGATTTCAACGTTGGTTGGTCAAGGTTAAAAGCAACATATCTCATTACAATCCAAACTGTTTTTATCATCTTCAGTAAACAACCTTAAGAAAAAAAACCCAAATAATCCTTGATTGCATGTAAAAAGCCAGTAAAAAGGTAAAACGTTAATGAAATAAACCTGCCATTGTTCGGGTTAACAAAAAGGGTTCAAAATTTGAATTTTTTCTCATATTAAAGCTATGATCCGTTAATCACTGTTTTAACGAAATATAACAGCGGAATTTCGAATTGTACAGTGGAATATTCTTTAAAATTAATACTGCTCAAAGATTTAAGTAGCTTAAAACACTTCTCGGAAAAAGTTCACCAAAATAGACTGAAATTAATTATGCTTAACGCTTCTGCATGCGTTAAGCATTCGTTAAGCCATTTCTTTTGACATTCAAATGTTGAACACAATTGAGCATGACACGGCAGTCTCGATTATACAGTAACTAATAGTGTGGGTGTGAAGATTTATGTAAATCAATACATGAATCCACATTTATGAAGTAAAAACTACCTTTTATTTTGATCTATCTGCTTCCATGTAACCTTACACAGGCAGGCGACATAACGCCGGGCTATATATATATACTGTGAAGTAAAGATATTAACAAAAAAGGATAGCGTGAAGGTTACTAACTGAGGTTTACATTGAAACTCTTTTAAAATGGCGCACAGGAAACCCTAAAATGTGGTTAACGGAAGCCTCGCAAGTAGTCTCAAAAACCAAACAACAAGACAAATATCGTTTTCTCACGCTACCGATTACAACAAAAGGACTGTGGTAAACAACGTTGTTTTGCACTACACAATGCCAAGTATTTCATTCAGGGACACCCCTGGAGAACTGAAATTTTCAAACTGCTCAAATACCTGGACTGATAGAATCTCAGCATACTCTGTCACTTTCGAGCGAACCCTACAAATAATTGTTCGTATTCGTATCCACTGCACTTCGTAACCAACAGTTATAGTTTAAACAATTTCATGGCGCCATGTGTAACATAAAAAGTAATAATAAAAAAAATTAGCTTAATGCAGTGACTAAGTAAAATCGTATACACTCAACTTATATCCTTTATACAGCCAAAGGTAAAAAAAAGAGCTGTAAAGTAATGACTGCGGGTAAGCTTGGAAGCGGTTCGCTCGCGATCGAACATTTATTTCAATAGACTCTGGCGTAGAGAAGTAACCTAACTTTGAAAGAAGTACAAATTTTACCCTGCGCGCCAGAAATTTTTTTAAGCTTGTTATTTACTCTCTCGTAACTTGCGGCGAAGCCGCCATAGGAAGACACGAAGCGCCGAGAGAATAATAAGTCCACCTAATAAGTCCATCTCGGGAGCTTTACCAAAAAGCTTATTTCATCCTAGGTATTTCGAGAACGGACCTCTGGAGCCAAGGTGAGAACATTTAAGCGGCGAAGAGAGAAAGTGAAGCTAAATTTAAGCTTAATTGACGAATCAGGAATGACAACAGCAGTTGCAAGTAACAGGCCAAGGTTTGTAAGAGGTAGAAAGAAAAACTTACCGCGGACCACAATTCTCACTTGGTCGCTCTCCTCTTGTGGAACGTTATTCACTTCGTAGTTCACTTCCAGGGTGTAAATATATTCCTCGGTGTTATCTACGTTCAACAACCATAACGTCGCTGGGAGGCTCGTTCTGTACTCGGTTTCGAAGTTACTGATCAACGCACTGAAGGGATCACCTGTACTGAATTTCCTCGATGCAATTGGTGTTGAACTGCTCTCCCCCGGCCTCTGTCTATTAAAGAAAAGGCTTGTAACAATTTCGCCACTGGAAGGTAGAATTTCCCATACGAGATCCACATTTGTGTTGTTCACTCTTTCGACTGCGATTGTTGGTTTATCAGGCTGTCTACGAAAAGTCAAAGCCTCTGAAAATAACACAAGAAAGCCAAAAAAACATAACGATTTTACTTTAAAAAAAGAACGATACCTAAAGCTAACCTCCTCATCAGAAGCAATTTTGTTACAAATCTAAAAGGCTTACCAGATTGCTGTAATAATGAGGCAGCAATCAAAACACTCGCCAATATCCAGCAAGGAATACTCCCTAGGTACACTACCATCTTTGCTGTCTTGGATGAATATAGCAACTTCTTTCGCCGTCAAATTCAACGAATATTCAGCTACAAGGAATGTTCGTTTATATTTGCTGAATGATATCATCGACCGACGCGCCAAATGGGGGTGCTAACTAGAGTCCAGACCTTCACGACGGAGAGATCCGAATGTTACCATAGTAACTTGTGAGCGTCGTACGCAAGTGAGGGTAGCAAAATCGAACAACTATCAGCTACCGGACCAAACTCCATCATGTCAACCTACCGAAATCAAACGAATCCAAATAAAACAGAACTCAATCGAACAAATGCGATATTTCCGAGGTTATCTCCAAATCGCAGGTTTTTGTCGGCCATTTAGGCCATTTTTTCCTATTCTTTTCCTTACTCAGGCTTTTTTTCTTCCAGAAAAGCACATTAAATGAGAACAAGCCTAAACATGAGCGGCTGACCCCGCCGCTCTTCTCGACTTCCGCGCTCGTCTCGCGCTTCTCGCGAAAATGCCCTGTGCTCCTTAATCAATCCTGGCATGGTCTCTGCACTCTCTTGTTAGGTGTCTTGTGATACCAATACTTTGAAATACTGATAGCAGTAGAATATTGACAGCGAGAGGCACAGGCAACAGCGTATATTATCAACTGGATGGTTATATAACTATCTCAGGGGCAAACAAAGGGAAATTTTAAGAAAAAGACCTAACAACAACAAAGCATGAATGAAGCTCTCTGAAGCCATTTTAAGCATTTTGGGAGATTCCTGGAAAAGATTTATCTGTTCCTCACTCCGATCCCAGCAAGACTAATGAATGATTTCCCTGCAAGCAAGTTGCACCTACAACTTACGAAGCGAAGCTCCCGTTAAAAAAATTATAATTTGAAGCAAAACAATAAACTTGTAATCCACAAATCACATTCATGTGACTTTTAAGGGAATAGAGGTTAACTGATTTTATAGAAAAATAATTTGACAGTCCAAGAGTCAAACAAATCAGTTTTGCATCAATTTAATAGTCTTACAAAGGTAGTTTCGAAAACGAAGCACTGGAAAACGAAGACCGAAGCACGAAGCACCCAAATCTCGAAAACAAAGCACCCAAATCTCGTAAACGAAGTACCCAAATCTCGAAAACGAAGCACCCAAACTCGAAAACGAAGCACCCAAACTCGAAAACGAAGAACCCACCCAAAACTCGGAACCTGTCTTAGTGGGGCGGATATGTGCAGATTTGGGGCCGGATTGTTCACTTTTTGTTAAAAGCACCAAATTTTCAGGAATGACAGAACTAATTATGACTATTAATATGTGATATGGTGCCATCGCAAATTTTTCCTGTAAAACTGGTTTTTAGAGTGAAAATTAAACTGGCCGCCATTTTGACCGGAAGTAAATATCATCTAATCTAAAGTACACAAAATGAAGCATTTTTTTAAGCCAAAATGACGATGAAATTGTTTATTATATAAGCTAATTGGGCTATTAATATGTGATATGGTGCCACTGCAAATTTTTCCTCTTAAACCGGTTTTTGGAGTTATTACTAAAATGGCCGCCATTTTGACCGGAAGTAAATATCACCTAACCGAAAGTACACTAAATTTAGCATGTTAAGACCGTTAAGGTCAAAATGAAGACAAAATTGTTTGTTCTATGTTTTTCCGGATATTTATGTCGTATAAAAAAGTCAACCGTGTTACAAATGAGCGGTTTAAATGATAAAACCGGAAGTAAAAGCGAGATAAAATGGCAATTCATCAAGTTTAAGTAGTGAATTTCAAAAATAAAAGTGAAACAATGATTCACATCTTTAAGCAAAGGAAAGGCCAAACATACGAACAAATTAAACTAGCAAAAATAGATTATTTCTTTTTACTTGTTTTGACCCTTTAAGTCCGGCTAACAGTGACCAACATCAATTTTCTCCTGACCATATCCATACAATGTCAAGAGATTAGGTTTTTAGAAATTAATAAAAATCACCTAAGAGAAAATGCTTTGATCTTTTATAAAATTCTCTCAGAGACCAGTTTGAAGAATTTGTATGTGAATATTGGGGCTTAAAGGTTAAAAGAGTTGATCCACTATTAACTAGAATGCAAAATGCTTTGCGGCTTTCAAAGTAATTCGAGGTATAATAGCTCCACCATTTTGTGTTATTGAGGAGTATAAATAACACTCTGTGCATGTACATCTTGGATTGAAATTGCTTTCACGATAACATCTGCTCATTTCAAAGTTTACCATTTTCAAAAAGTTTCCGGGAAATCCGTTTTGGAAGGTAACGGGTACCCTACTCAGCCTACTCTTTACAAACAGTGGGCTGGGTTCTTTAACTTTCCACAGCATTTCAAGATAAAGAACACGAACTGTGAGACGGGGCTTACGGTTTTTTTTTTTGTTATCCCAAGAAGACTAGAAAGTCTAACGTTTGCAGATGACCGTAAAAAGGCAGCACTTCTCGTCAGTTACATAAAGATCCTGATCCAGAGTTTATCCGACCGGGGTTTGAAACCCCGGCTTCTGGCTTAGTGGACCGGTGCTTACCCACCTGGCCCGGTTGTTTAAACATTGGATAGCGCTATCCACTGGATAAAAGTCTGTCCAGTGGATAACGCAATTGGTTTCCCTAATACGTATCCGCTGGACAGTGATTTATCCGGTGGATAGCGCTATCCAACGTTTGAAGGACCAGGGCCTGGAGCTAACCGGGCAGCGGTTTCACTCATCTGTATTTCACTATCAAATGACTCTGCGCCTCTCTCGACAGAAATGAGAGTTAGCCTCTTATCTTCACTGTTATCACCCCCCAGAATGTCATTTCGTTATCATGGACTGAGTAGCACTGATTATCATGTTAAAGTCCACATGCAAGAAAATAAGGAAAAAGCGTTGTCCGAATATACATCACTTACGTTAATTCCCTGAGCATGTAAAACGTATTCTCTTGGATATAGTATGGGACAAATATGTCGCACCGAGAACAGCTAGAAGACTAAGATCTGGGGAAAACGTGTATCGGGAGCTATACTAAGAAACTGGAAAAAGTTAGTTCTTATGTAAAGATCGAAATAAGCAGGTGCTTTTTAGATTCATTGCACAGTGAGCAACGCATGTCGTCTAGGGACAGATGTCCAGTCTTTCCCCTGCATCGTTTGAAGTCAATTCGCTAGAAAACATTTTTCGTCATGCTATATCACAAAGCAGATTCCGTTCTTTTAAGGTATAATATATAAAAATATAAGTTAAGACTCTCCAAAGACATTTTCGTTAAGTCCACTCTCCTTTCTAACTACCCATGAAACTTCTATACCATGAAGCCAAGTTAGCTTCCTTATCATATATCTTGTTGCTGAGGTACATCTACGCTACCTTGCAGCCTATGAGATTGCACGTCCTCCATTCCATGAATTCACAGGATGTGACACGCTGAATACTTCTGGTCACCTCAGTCCAGAAATAATCGGAGTGGTTTTCGCTTACACGTTCTTCTATACGATAAAAAAGTAGTTCTTTAAGGTCAACTGACGAAGCCAAAAGTAGTTTCTTTGTCCTGGCCCATATTACTTAAACATTTCAAGGGCATGGCAAACCATGCCGGCCACATATAGAGTCAGCAGGCACTGGTACCAAGCATCTCGGTTCCTAGTCCGCAAGGAGTTGGGGCTAGATATCTCTAACAGGAGAGTGGCGACTCTCCTGCACTCCACTGTCAGAAATTACAAAGTTGAGCGTGGAACTAGTCAAGTACGCTCGTAAGAAGGGTTGTACCCAGAAGAGTGACAATCATGAAAGGCAGTCTTAAACTCTTTTTTTCGATTACAAGCACTCGTCTGCATGAAGTATTACTGCGCTTTTCACAAACATGCGAATTCTGAAGTTCAAAAGCCAATTGACGATTGCGTTTTTCGCTGCCTTCAATCATCTTAACGGACCTCCTAGGAAACAAAACTTTACTTTAACGGGTTCAAAAGGTCAAGGTTTGTGATTTGTGACTGGTGGATTTCGATCTGTTTTGTGTGTTTCTGTGTTTCAAGGTTCGTTGCTTGTGATCGTAATTATGATTGACGGCAGCGAAAAACGCAATTGTGAAGGCGGCTGTTGAACTTTAGAGTATGCATGTTTGTGAAAAGCGCAGTAAGTCATTAGGTCACCGAGATATCACCTGTTATTCTTCAAGTTCTGTATCATAGCAAAAGTAGGCTCAAGTTTAATAATGGATTATACACAATGAAAATAGCAAATTGAGTGTATACATCAGATTTAAAGAAAATATTCAATTAAAGAAAGCCAGCACTGCAGGCACAACAGAAGTTTAATCTCATTCCTTAAAAGTTCGGACTCTGGTAGTTTTACGTCCGGTCTAGCTGGCGATCACTTATATCTTCTCTATTCTATTTTTGTTTAGACACTGCGTTGAAATAATATTTCTCTGTATGAAAAAAAAGCTGCCTTAGGCATTTGCTGACATTTTCTTATCCAAGTTGCTAAAATTCAGACGTTTTAAAGAAAATGTTAATTTCACTTCCGGTTCAAAATGGCCGCCATTTTAAAAAATCTTATTTTTCGCACTTAACGGACTTTTTGGCGATGGCACCATATCCTATCTTTTTTAGGGCCTTGAAAACTATCATCATGCCAAATTTCATGCTTTTAACAGAAAGTGAACAATTCAAGCACATATCTGCTCTACTATCTGCCCTTAAAAACCAAAATGAAAATGACGGAAGAGGAAGCGCTTTTTGGGTCCAAGGCTATTTCCCGAGAACAATTTCTGTCTGGATCTGATCTGGG